TACATTTTCCTCATCTGGAAATTCATAATACCTATTTCCCAAGATAGTGTGAGATGTTGTCTATAAATTGCTTACAAAAATACCTAACATAGAGTGAAGGCTCCCTAAGTAGTAACCATTGTTGTTGTTGTGGGGATATTTTTAGTTTTTGGAGCACACTTCCTCTGAGAAGCTTAAAGTCATTCTTCCTATTACCACTAGTCTTGCTAAACAAATAAGTTCCTGGCATTTTCCTCCAGTTTGGAAGAGCTGCTGCTCTGAGATGAATTTAGGATGACTTCTGTGGTAAAGAATTACTCTGGCTCTAAGAACCTGTGTTACAGGCCAGCATTAACTAGAAGTTTGGACTTTTGAGAACATGTGATAGAACAATTTATGGCTCTCAACTTTTTATTTAGTCAGATTTGAAAATTAAAAGAAAAAAAATAAGACTACCATTTTTATAAATAGCACTTCACAACAGTAAGGAGATTTAGCACCAAAAAATCTCAGAAAAGGGGGCAATTCCTCCCTAGAAAAGTCACCTTTCATGGACCTCTCCATATATACACTTACACATTATACATTATATTATTATATTATACATTATTACTTAATGTATTAATATATTTTATGATACATGGTCATTATGTATTATTATATATTATACGTTATACATAAATACACAGATGTGTGTATGATGAGTGTGTATGTGCGTTTGCTCAGACCTATCTATAAACACACACACATACATGCATGCACACGTGCATATGTGTATCTACGAGCATGTGTGTGTGCAAATATGCATGTGTATTTGCCTGGACCTCTGTGTTTCTGATTACATACGTCACTATTTTATTAGTTGCTGTTGAGTCGATTCCAACACATGGGCAACCCCATGTGTTACAGACTAGAACTGCTCCATAGGGTTTTCTTGGCTGTTATCTTTATGGAAGCAGATCACAAGGTACTATCTTCCATGGTACCACTAGGTGGGTTCGAGCTATCAACCAACCTTTAGGTTAGCAGTTGAGTGCAAACCATTTGTGCCACCTAAGGACCTGTATGTGTACGTATGTGTGCAAATGTGCACATGTGTATTTGCCTGGACCTCTCTCTGTATACATACACATACATACATATACAGACATATATACACATGTACATACACACAAACTTATGTGCATATGTGCGTATGTGTACGAGTGTGTGTGTATCTGTTTGCGCAGACTGCTCTCATATACACATACAGGCATACCTCAGAGACATTGTGGGTTCGGTTCCAGACCACCGCAATAAAGCAAATATTGCAATAAAGCGAGTCACACAAATTTTTTTGATTTCCCAGTGCATATAAAAGTTGTGTCTATACTATACTCCAGTCTATTAAGTATGCAATAGCATTATGCCTAAAAAAACCCAACTTCATTGCTAAAAAATGCTAACCATCATCTGAGCCTTCACGAGTCATAATCTTTTCGCTGGTGGAAGGTCTTGCCTCGATGTTGATGGCTGCTGACTGATCAGACTGGTGGTTGCTAAAGTCTGGGGTGGCTGTGGCAATTTCTTAAGACAATCAAGTTTACCGCATTGATTGCCCCTTCCTTCCGCGAAAGATTTCTCTGTAGCATACGATACTGTTTGATAGCATTTTATCCACAGTAGAACTTCTTTCAAAACTGGAGTCAATCCTCTCAAACTCTGCCACTGTTTTATCAGCTAAGTTTATGTAATATTCTAAATCCTTTGTTGTCGTTTTAACAATGTTCATAGCATCTTCACCAGGAAAAGATTCCATCTCAAGAAACCACTCTTAGCTCATCCATAAGAAGCAACTCCTCATCCATTAAAGTTTTATCATGGTATTGCAGCAATTCAGTCACATCTTCAGGTTCCACTTCTAATTCTAGTTCTCCTGCTATTTCCACCACATCTGCAATTATTTCCTCCACTGAAGTCTTGGACCCCTCAAAGTCATCCATGAGGATTGGAATGAACTTCTTCCAAACTCCTGTTAATGCTGATATTTTGTCCTCCTCCCATGAATCATGAATGGTATCAATGGCATCTAGAATGTTGAATTCTTTCCAGAAAGTTTTCAATTTTCTTTTCCCAGATCCATCAGCGGAATCACTATCTATGGCAGCTATAGCCTTACAAAACATATTTCTTAAATAATAAGACTGAAAAGTCAAAATTATTCCTTGATCCCTGGTCTGTAGAATAGATGTTGTATTAGCAGGCATGAAGACAACATTAATATCCTTGTGTATCTCCATCAGAGCCCTTGGGTGACCAGGTGCATTGTCAATGAGCAGTAATATTTTGAAAGGAATCTTTTTTTCTGAACAGTAAGTCTCAACAGTGGGCTTAAAATATGCAGTAAACCATGTTGTAAACAGATGTGCTGTCATTCAGGCTTTGTTGTTCCATTTATAGAGCACAGGCAGAGTAGATTTGGCATAATTCTTAAGGGTACTAGGATTTTTGGAACGGTAAATGAGCATTGGCTTCAACTGAAAGTTATGAGCTACCCCTAACAAGAGAATCAGCCTGTCCTTTGAAGCTTTGAAGGCAGGCATTGACTTCTCCTCTCTAGCTATGAAAGTCCTAGATAGCATCTTCTTCCAATATAAGGTTGTTTCGTCTACATTGAAAATCTGTTGTTTAGTGTAGCCGCCTTCATCAATTATCTTAGCTAGATCTTCTGGATACCTTGCTGCAGCTTCTACATCAACACTTGCTGCTTCACCTTGCACTTTTATGTTATGGAAATGGCTTCTTTCCTTAAACCTCATGAACCAACCTCTGCTAGCTTCAAACTTTTCTTCTGCAGCTTCCTCACCTCTCTCAGCCTTTATAGAGTTGAAGAGAGTTAGGGCTTGCTCTGGATTCCGCTTTGGCTTAAGGGAATGCTGTGGCTGGTTTCATCTTCTATCCAGACCCCTAAAACTTTCTGTGTATCAGCAATAAGGTGTTTTGCTTTCTTATCATTCATGTGTTCACTGGAGTAGCACTTTTCATCTCCTTCAAGAACGTTTCCTTTGCATTCACAACTTGGCTAACTATTTGGCTCAAGAGGCCTAGCTTTCGGCCTATCTCGGCTTTCAACATGCCTTCCTCACTAAGCTTAATCATCTCTAGCTTTTGATTTAAAGTGAGAGACATGCAACTCTTCCTTTCACTTGAACATTTAGAGGCCATTGTAGGGTTAATAACTGGCCTAATTTCGATATTGTCTTGTCTCAGGGAGTAGGGACGCTTGCGGAGAGGAAGAGAGATGGGGGAATGGCGGGTTGGGGAGCAATCAGAACACACACAACATTTACTGATTAAGTTTGCTGTCTTATATGGGTGCTGTTCATGGAGCCCCAAAACAATTACAATAGTAACATCAAAGATCACTGATCACAGATCACCATAACAGATATAATAATAATGAAAAAGTTTGAAATATTGGGAGAATCACCAAACTCTGACCCAGAGACATGAAGTCAGGACATGCTGTTGGAAAAATGGTGCCGACAGACTTGCTCAACGCAGGGTTGCTACAAAACTTCAATTTGTAAAAAATGCAATATCTGTGAAGAGCAATAAACCAAGTGCAATAAAACGAGCTACGCCTGGATATGAGTATGTGTGTGTCTGGGAGTGTGCATGTGTATTTGCCCAGACTTCTGTATATACACACATTTATTTATATGGGTATCTGTATGTTCACATATGCATATTTGCCTGCACCTTGCTACATCCACATATATGTACATATGTATGTATGTGTATAAGTGTGAATTTGCCCTTATTTTTCTCATTTGACTGCAGAATAGTGAGCATCTCCACCACTCGTCTGTCAGGTTGTCATACTGTGGTGGTTTGTGTGTTGCTGTGATGCTGGAAGCTATGCCATCGGTATTTCAAATACCATCAGGGTCACCCATGGTGGACAGGTTTCAGTGGAGCTTTCACCATACTTATTCAATCTGTGTGCGGAGCAAATAATCCAAGAAGATGGACTATATGAAGAAAAACGGGGCAACAGGACTGGAGGAAAACTCATTAACAAACTGTGATATGCAGATGATGTAACCTTGCTTGCTGAAAGGGAAGACGACTTGAAGTATTTACTGATGAAAATCAAAGACCACAGCCTTCAGTATGGATTACATCTCAACATAAAGAAAACAAAAATCTTCACAACTGGACCAATAAGCAACATCATGATAAATGGAGAAAAGACTGAAGTTGTCAAAGATTTCATTTTACATGGATCCACAATCAATGCCCGTGGAAACAGCAGTCAAGAAATCAAATGACATATTGCATCGGGCAAATCTACTGCAAAAGACCTCCTTAAAGTGTTAAAAAGCAAAGATGTCACTTTGAGGACTAAGGTAGGTCCGACCCAGGCCATAGTATTTTCAATTGCCTCATATGCATGTGAAAACTGGACAATGAATAAGTAAGACCGAAGAAGAATTGATGCCTTTGAATTATGGTGTTGGCGAAGAATATTGAATATATCATGGATTGCCAGAAGAATGAATCTTGTCTTGGAGGAAGTGCATCCAGAATGCTCCTTAGAAGTGAGGATGGCAAGACTACGTCTCATATACTTTGGGGGCACATGTTATGAGGAAGGACCAGTCCCTGGAGAAGGACATCATGTTTGGTAAAGTAGAGGGTCAGTGAAAAAAAGGAAAACCCTCAGTGAGATGGACTGACACGTGGCTGCAACAATGGGCTCAGACTTAGCAATGACTGTGAGCATGGTGCGGAACTGGGCAGCATTTCATCCTGTTGTACACAGGGTTTCTATGAGTCAGAAGTGACTCGAAGGCACCTAACAACATCTTGTCTGGGTGGACACACTTCTGCTGGCTTCCGTTTACAATCACTGCTCTAGATAACCCAGGTGAAATCAGTACCACAAGTAGGAAGAGAATTAAATTAGCTTCTATTGCCCTTTAGGAAGGATGTGGCTTTCTCACTGAGTTAAGAGTAAAGCTTTGCACGTGTCTGACCTGCCGGGACGATAACTCTGCGCTCGTTCGTGGTCATGTTTGGGGGTGGAATGTGTTTCTCCTCCATGTAGCTGCCGTAGTTCATCCCCACTGTGTCTGGGCTGCCCACCATCTTCCCGCCTTTTGCCACGCTGCATTCATCTGGGGAGTTCCTGGAGGAGGAGGAGAAGAAGGTAAAGTTTTCCGTTATTACTTACTGCAGTTGGAAAGCATGTTCCATGGTTCCCCCTGATGCACAGAGAGGACCAGGGAAAGGAAACGTGGAGGAGACTGAAGAAGAAGGGAGGGGAGAGAACAAGGGTGAAAAGGCAAACACAGTCCTCACGTTCGGTTGAAGCACAGAGTAGGCAGGCGGGAAGCAAAGCTGCCACTTGGGTCTATGTCTAAAGCCAACTCCTCATGAAACTCTCATTTCAAAACTCCATCTGTGTCAAATGATTGGAGACTTCCCAGGGAAGGTCAATTGTGCTGGTTTTCACTGTATGAAGGCCAACAGGTACGTGCTTAGGTACTGGGAGGAGGCACCAGAGACATTCGTGGCTCAGCAAGGTTTATTCCAGAACAACCATGATGTTGCTTTCGAGATCTCAAAAAAGAATCCTTGTGCTGCGTGCCAAACCCCTGCAGCCAATCTCTAGCTATGAAGCTTTGAATGGTCACAATGTTCCAAGCTCAGGTGCAAGCAAGAAAGGCAGAGAAGGGAGAGGGGCTGACACCGTTGGAGCAGCACTGCAGAAGATCCTAGCAGCCCTGCAGGAACCACGGGAAAGGAGATGTGACACTCTATACAGATGCAGAAAAGACTCAGAACAATACTGATCCTTAGTAACAGCTCACAATGCTGTTGTAAGGTAGCCCCACTCATTCAGATAAAGACAAGCCTGGTTTTCTGTAAAAAGATGAAAGGCAAAAAAATTTTTTAAGTGAGATTTAAAAGCTAAAGGATGTGGTGAGATTGTACCTAATAGGGAGATTCCAAATAGAAAATCCAGCTTAGCCAGAAAATAGAAAAATATGTAATTACCACCTTCTTAGATGGTTTTAACTCAGTGTCTTTGGGGCTGAGAAGTTTTGATATTCAGTTGTATCTTCTCAGGTGTATTTATGGAAATTGCCTCCAAAGCTCCATCCACCACATAATTTTTCAGATTCTTGAGAATCTATGAACAGCCACTGGATTTTAGATTCCTGCCTCATTGACTGAGTCCCTAGAGGTTGTGCGTTCAACCCCAACTAACCTGTGTTTGTCTCCTCCACACCTCAACAGTTGGAATTTTGCAGTGAACTTGTAAAATCACAGAACTGTAGGCCTGGCATGGACTTGGCCTTTGAAAATTAGAAAGTCAAAACCATGTGAGGCAGGAGGACACTCTCTGGATGGAACAGGGCTGAAAATGGGATGGAGTAGGTTATTCCAAACCCAAAGGCCATGGCAGGGGCGTGGACAGGAAGGGCAGATGAAGGGCCCTGGGCACTGGAAAGAGTTAGCTCAGTGTCTGGAACTTTGAAAATATAGGCTTGTTCTCAGCATCATTTGCAAATGTGTCTGCAGCCTATAGAAGAAACCAAATGTTGACAATAAGGAGGGGGCAGGAGCCCTGGTGGTGTAGTGGTTAAGCACTCAGCTGTTAACTGAAAGGTCAGCAGTTCGAACCCACCAGCTGCTCTGTGGGAAAATGATGTGGCAGTCTGCTTCCGCAAAGATTAGAGCCTTGGAAACCCAATGGGGCAGTTCTACTCTGTCCCACAGGGTTGCTTTGAGTCAGAATCGACTCAACGGCAATGGGTTTGGTTTTGGTTTAGCTAACAACTGTGGATGGAAGTTAGAGTTAGGATCCAAGGTTGGGAAGTACTAAGGTCCTACCACCAGCCTAGAAATACACAGCCCTGCTTGGCTGCACCCAACAGCTGTACTAACATGAAAGAAAATGACAAATAACAATGATCTGTGTTCCCATGGTGCAGATCCTTACATTTCCAAGGCTGTCGACACATGTAGTATTTTCTCTTGATGCTATTTTTCCTGGCTTCAGACATTTATCTCTAAAAGACTCATCCGAATATCAAAACACAGAATGTCTTTACTTAAGACTTCGTTTCCTATTCCCTTGGAAAATTCCACCAGCTGAGTGGAGTGTGTATGTTGTGGTGTATTTGTCTCAAAGAACAACGTTACTAGGGGAGGAGAAACTAGAGGGATTTGATTCCTTAAAAAAAAAAAAGACTAAATACTACCTGGATGAGAAGCGAAATTTAGGGAAAAATTATAAATTCTAGGATGAGCTTTGTTCAGATTCACTTGTTCACTAATCCATTAAGGCAGTTTTTATTGAGTGTCTGCTGTATACAATGCACCATGCAAACTCTTCCTTCTTCAGCCAGGCAGTTAATCTTTAAAAGGTTAAAGGCCAAAGAGATGTACAGAATTATAGAAATGGGGGCATTTGGGATTATGATTCTTTTAGACCAACTCTTCCATTTTCTTTCAGTCATTAATAGTTTAATTTCCATGTCTGAGGATGAGAACTCTAGGCAAGAGGTTTTCTATGGCATTAAAATAGATCCCCCACCAAATCCTGAGATGTGATAAGCTATTAAACTGCTTTTTGCTGGAGCTTCCAAAAATGTGCATCTATATTTAAAGCTGGGGGTCATGTTCGATAAGCCTTCTTTGTTTTTGTCTTATAACCACAAAACATAATTCATCTCATTAACTTTTTCCATCCCAGGAAGCGGAGCCAACGTGGCACTATAGACAACACACCACACAATCACTCTGCAGCAAAGACCTGAACACTAAGTAAAACAGATACAAATGTCAATCCTGGAACCCTAAGCATCAAGTGAAGGGATAAAGAACTAGATCAAGCACCAGATGAAAGAAGAAACTGACAGAGAACAGAGAATGAGGAGAGACAGGAGTGGAAGTCCCCTGCCAGCGAACACAGCACAGCGTCACCATCTTGGAGCACAGCGAGCAACGACCCCAACAGGGAGTACAGAAAGGCAACTTCACAGAGCTCCCAACAGGAGACAAACACACGGTAACCAGAGAAACACGCTTTCCCACCTCTCACCCGTCTGCCCTGAATGCTGCCTCTGTCACTTCCCAGTGCGTCATGCCGTACTGCTTGGCTGGAGAGAGACTGGCTCGCTGTTTCCCAGGTCTGCCCCGCCCTCACCAGCCAGCATTCTCCTTGCCGTTTTTTCCCTCTTTCCTTTCTTCCTTTTCTTTATCCCTCCCACCTAGCCCAGTGTGCCACCTCTGCCCCTTCCTGATGTGCCACACTATGCCACTCGGCTGAAGAATGGCTGGTCTGCAGCTGCCTTGGGTCTACCATGCCCCCACTGGCTGGCTCCTGCCATGCCATTTGTTTTCTTTTCTCTTTCCCTTTCTTCCTTTTTCATTCTCCCTCCCACCTAGCCCTATGTGCCACCTCCACCCCTTCCTGACAGGCTACCCTACACGCTACTCAGCTAGGGAGCCCCTAGCCCATGGCCACCCCAGGTCCACCCTGCACTCACTTGCTGGCTCATACCATGCCATTTTTTTTTTCTTTTTTCTTTTTCTTTCTTCCTCCCACCTGGCCCTGTATGCCACTTCTACCCCATCCCTCTGGGACACACCTCGCCACCTGGGATAGAGAGCCACCGGCCCACAGCCAGCCCCAGTCTAGCCCAATCCCACTGGTTCCCACTGTCATTTTTTTTTCCTTTTGTTTCTTTCTCTTCTTTCTCCCTTGGGTCTGCCCTGACCCCACTTGCTGGTCCCCACTGCACTGCCATTTTTTTTTTTTTTTTAAATTTTAGTTTATTTTTCTTTTGTCTTTCTTCCTTTTCCTTCTCCCTCCAACCTAGCCCCATATGCCATCTGCCTCCCATGGCTGGAGAGACACCAGCCTACCACTGCCCTGTGTTGGCCCCACCCCCACCATGCTGCAACTTATTTTCTTTTTTCTCTTTTCTTTGTACTTCCCACCGAGCCCGTCTTTCCTGACGGCCCCCAGGTCCACCTCACCCCCACCCGCCTGCTACCCTTTTTTATCTCTCTCTTTTCTTTTCTTTCTCCCATCCACCTAGCCCCATACACCACCTCCTCTTCCCACTGGCCCCCGATGTGCTGCTATGGCTAGTGCATGCCCACTACTCAGGCCTGCTGCTACAAGAGGCCCGCACTCCCCCCACCACCACTTGATCAGCTGCTGAACGGTGGTACGCAAGCATGTACCATTCCCACCCGACATCCCTGCCTATCTGGCAAAGAGCTGTGAATGCTCCCACACCACTGGATCAACATCAGGAGGCAGAAAGTGCTGGCCCAGTTCGCCCTCAGCCACTCGCCAAACCAGTATACAGTGAAGCAGGCTCACCCTGCCTGCTGCTGCCCTGCCCACCTGGACAAGATGGTGAGAACTATCATGCCCACACACAAGCAAGCAGCAAAACATGCTTGGACCACCCAGCCTGACATATCAAAACGAAACAAAAAGCAGGACAAAACAAATGAACATATAATCAATAAATAAAGAAAATAATACCTTAATGTCTCAGAGACAGCAGACAGTATCAAAACATATGAAAAAGCAGGATAAGATGGCTCCAGCAAGTGACCAAAATAAAGAATCAGATGGCCTTCCGGTGGAAAAAAGGCAGTGGAACTACCTGATATGGATTCAAAAGACATACTATTGGAGCTCTTGAAGACATTAGGGAAAAGATCAAGGAACACACAGAAAAAATAAAGGAAAAAATGGACAAAATCATGGGAAACACAGACGAAACATAGCCAAAATTAAGGAAAACACTGACAAAGCAATAGAAGAATTCAGGAAAATAACGCAAGAACAAAATGTCAAAGCAAATCAACAACTCGAAATCACACAAAAACAGAAACTGCAAATCCGAAAGATAAACAACAATTTTTCAGAAATAGATAACTCAATAGAAGGTTTGAGGAGCAAATTTGAAACAATGGAAGAGAGAATCTGTGAGATTGAAGACAAATCCATGGATGGCATTTTGTTTGAGGAAATATCAGAGAAAAGAATAAAGAAAACCTAAGAATTATGTGGGACACAATCAACAGCAAAAATTTGTGCATGATCAGAGTTCCAGAATAGGCGGATAAAATGGAAAACGCAGAGAAGATTGT